ACAGGCGAACCCAAACGATACCCTATCAAGCACTTTCCGCGACGATCATTCCGCCATTGGGTCGGCCTCCTCTGCCTTTCGTTCTCTAGCGTCGTTGTCACGCTCCTCCAAGCGCGCGCCGCCGTATCTTTGACCTTGCACTTCAACCTTCCTTGGATCACACATGCTGGACTGTGGTGGATCGTGATTCCCATTTACGCTATCGGACTTCTAATTACTTGGTGCGCGGTGATATTCGAATGTTGCGTCCTCTTCGCGCAATCGGGCGTCGTCGTTTGGTGGTTGGGATGGTCCGTCGGTCTGTTTACGTAGTACTGCTATCGGGTTTGCTGTGCGTGTATCTTTATACTAGTGATTATTGTACAAGGACGTGAGTAGTTGGAACAATCGTTCGCCATATTCGGTTTCCCGTGTGCACCAACTCGATGATACACCGATAGCCCCCGTCTCTATAGTCTTGAGCACCTAACGAAACATCCCCGGCTATATCATACTGCATCAAGTCGTACAAATATCACAATCACGAATTGTCCCTGTAGAAGGGCGCATGTGGATAAGACCCCGCGGCCCCCGTGTATGGGGCTGGAATTGATGGGCTGGGGGCAGGCTGACTATGGCTAGGACCTGGAGTCTGGAGGCTTACAACACCGCCCACAGTTCTGCTAGACTGCAATTGAGGTATGTCGGCCACTGCTTTCCCTGCGTTGATACACTCCCGGCAGAATCCTGGTACACATAGGTTAGTACTCGCGCATGACGAAGTGGCCTGTACATACTCCCGCCCATCATGAGTGGAACGTCTGTTTGCCCACAGGAGTGGCAGGCGATTGGCGGTGGGAGCGGAGCCTTGGCCTTTGGTTGGCTACGTCGCCTTACAGGCGTCGGAATCTCGTTAGGGGGTACGTGATTCGCAGTAGCGATGGTCGGTCTGCGGGAGACGGATTTGCGTTTAGACCTGTTGCTATCAGCGCCAGCTGGCTTTATGGGCTTCATGGTAAACGACGGCGCTGCGGCCTGGAGACGTCGTCAGGGAAGGTAAGCCAGATGTTGCAGACTTCTCTCACATTTCGAATCTCGTCCAGCAGTTCTCCTTCAGGCAGACGATGCTGCAAGAACGACCGCGAGACAGTCTTCGCCTGGCGGACTAATACTGAGCGATCGGTACCAGGTCACACTGTAATGGCTCCCGCTCACAATTTCTATGAGCTTCAACCTGCTCTGGTCGATCTTCTCGGGCCCTCCTGCCCAGGATGACAACAGCTCCCATAAACTCTGTGAGACTCGTGAAAGCCGGAAACTGACAACCTCGCGCACGGGTGTGTCTGAGGGGCTTGTCGCTCCGGGAAAAGGCAGACAGTGCGTAATGATGAGGTCAAACGACCTGTATATCGAGGGTGCCTTGGGGGTTGCGAGTTCACACACGACATCGCCGCGAGGGAGTATGAACCGCTCCCCAGGTTTCTCGTAGAACTCAAGGACTATGTCGAACGGGCGCGGAGTGGAGGGCGGCAGGGCAGTAATTGTGCCATGCTCGGCAGAGGTGGAAGATTCTAATGAGGGGACATTGTCCAAAGACTGTATGAGGTAGCCTAAGGTCTTCACTTGTTGATCGTTCGCAGTACGATTGATGACAGCATTGAGGAGATTCGCAAGCACGGGATCCGTTTGCGCCGCGTTGGAAACTTTCGCTGATAATGCTGGTGTTACGTAGGTGCCTGATGGAAATGCAACCGACGACAGCGACGATTGAACGCCACTAGAAGTTGCGGACGGGGTATTCGATGATTGCGATGGAGCTACAGTACACGTTGGTCGGATGTGATCGGTATATATACTAGATGATACATACCGTGGCCGCCTCCAGTCGCGGCAGACGGCGTTGTAGGGAGATAATGGACTTCGTATATCGCCGTATTCGCAAATGAATGAGGTCCGATATGAAGGTCGAATTTACCGTGGGCTTTGGTAGTGTGGGGCGGCGGAGTTACTTCTGCAGGCTTGCCTCCACGAGTTTTGATTGAGAACCTCGGAAACATGCTAGAAAGCCATGCATTGCGTGCTATAGGGGTCTGTTGAAGGATCAACATACCAGCTGCGACGGAGGCGAGGCTTACACTGTCTGAGGGATTGTAGCACTACTTGACTGACGCGTTTGTGAGTGCGGATTTCTCATCGACGTTCACAAACAACACCATCCACAGCAAGCACTCATACCTCTCAGCCACGCTCTTGAGTTCTGATGCGTCTCCGCGGGATGCATCGAGTTCCCATCCTGGCTCTGGACCTGTGGGCAATTGTAGCACCGTACGATGCATTCTGCACTTCGCACAAGAGGTAAACCTTTGCTTGTTTTGCCTGCAGTTCCAGAGATGATTGCAGAGGAGAGTTCGTATGCAAGTTGAATTCGGAGCACAGGAAGAAACACGTATGGAACTTTGCTTGTAGTTGTAGTTGAAGAATAGTAAGGACGCGGATCCGGAAGACTCGGACTCGTCGAGCCAAAGAATGCTATGGGCGCTTCCCTCACCTTGTTATAACTTCGTTTGACCCACCACAATCCCTCCTCGGTCGAGGCTCTGAGCTACCCATCTTTGTCGTAGTTCGAGATGTCGCAACGCGTCCGTGAGTATAAAGGACATTGTTATGCTTCTTTGTTCTCAGCAGTCTTTCAGAGAAGGGGAACACGGTCTTTAGACCTGTCGCAAAACCGCGACCGCGACCAGTCGGCGACTCTCGTCAGCCTTCCGCTCTTCCGGAGTCGTCGAATGCACAGAGCTCGAACAATGCGCCGGAGGCCCTCCCTACCGGTGGTGTGGTATCGGAAATGGGTCCGCCAATGCCAAAGTCCCAGCGTTCAGTTGATGCGCCCCCTGCTCAGCATGCCGCTCAATCCACCGTGACCGTAATGCCTGATATCAACCCCAGGACACAAGAGGCTACGAACTCTTACCATAATGCGGCGTTTGACTCGAATGCCACTTCGTTGACACAAGCGTCTGCACCTCGAGCTCCACCAACGCTTGCGCGATTACCACCAAGGATCAACTCTTCCCAGCCTCCCTCACAATCTGGTACTCCCATTTCTATGCCAACCCGTACGATGGTTAGAGCGCCCCCGCGCCCACCAAACATTGCCCCTTCTGTGCCAACACTACCTCCTACGGTTGCCGGACCGAGCCACCAGCTGACCGAGCCCTCATTCCCCCCACCACCACCGCCAGTCGTTATGGAAGCCTACCCGCCCAGTGGCCCAATTCCCATCGATTCTTCGCAGATCGACCCACAATTGATGGGGCCGTCTGGAATGCCTGGCATGACTTTCCAGCCTATACCAGAAGTTGTGCAAGCCACAGGCGGTGACCCGAGACCAGCTGTTGGTCTCAGCGAGGTGCCTCCGGTAAAAATTCCCAGATCCCGCCGAGCACCACGAGGGAGGGGAGTAAATGATACGCAGTCTGGTAGGGAGGCAGATTCACGTGAGTCTCGTCCATGTTTGAGGTTAGCTAGAACATTGACCCTTTGTTCAGAGTCCGGTGCCGAAGCTGGTGATGCTCCCGCGAAGAAGAGACGTTCGAAGAAAACAACAGCGGAAGGTCAGGAGAACGAACCTGAAGCAACCACCAAGAAACGCAAACGGTCTGAAACATCAGAACCTCGCCGGTCACGGAAACGGGCGCCGTCTCCTCCACCGTTCGACCCAGAGGCGGACCCGGGTGAGGAATTGGATCCCACTGCGGTCACCATGGCTGCACTGTGCGATGACACTGGCCGAGGTCGGGTGAGCAGCAAAGCAGCGCAGGTCGTCAGCAATCATGCTGCTTGGCGAGCGGCAAATCGGGAAAAGCGTGCTCGCCTGAAAGCCATCATGGAGGCCAAGAAGTACGGCAGGAATATCGAGGATGACGAAGAAGGGGCCAATCAGAGCGCGAGCAACAACGCAGCTTCGTCACAACAGAACGAGGCGGGGTCGGCCTCTCGTGCAGCATCGGTTGCTTTGGACCCAGCCGCATCGACTTCTGCAAACGATACATCTGAGGTCGAGAAGGGCGCCGATGGTTTCGATTACTCTGAAGACCTGGCTGTCAGCCGCTTCAGCGTTCAGGTCCGCATAGGTGCAAATGGCGAGACTATCATTGACGAAGAGTCGTTGTTCGTCAACCGCGACGAAGGAGATCATACGGAGGAATACACACATGTTGAAGAGTCCGACTTCACGAAGTTCGTCAATTCTGCGACCTACAGCAAGAAACTCCGGGGCTCTCGCTGGAGCGCCGAAGAAACCGAGATGTTCTACGACGTATGGCTCGCTGAATATCGTATCTATGCGGCTCTCTGACACCTTCCGACAGGCTCTTTCACAGTTCGGCGAGAACTATGAATTGATTTCATACGTCCTACCGGGGCGTGACCGGAAGGCTTGCAAGAACAAATTCAAGGCTGAGGATAGGAAGAATCCAGCACGAATCACTTATTGCCTCAAGAATCGTCGACCATATGGTATGTGCATCGTCTTCGCGAGTATGCCTTGATTGTTTACGTTGGCGGTAGATATTGCAACTTTGTCTCGCATGACGGGGAAAGACTTCTCTGGTCCTACCCCTGAAATCCGCGCTCCGACCCCGCTGCGGTCGACAGAGCTGCAAATCGATGCTGAACCCACTAGTCCGCCACCACCACCAACTATACGAAAGAAGAGCAGAACACCCAGCGTCCACGAAGCTGGTGTAGAGATCGTTGGTGACATTGACGACATTGGGAAGGACGACTTTGATGATATAGGGCAAGACGTAATTCAAACGCAAGCGTGAACTCTGCGACTTTGTAGCGCTACTTGTATTCATATCCTTGTTGTCAAACTGATCGTTCTACCAAGGTGTATCTTTGGGGGCGGTAGCAAACCGTGCACAGGTGGGTGAACGAGGCTCAGACATGGAACTACGGAATGTGCGACTTCGTGGCAATGCCTAGGTCGGGGACGGTGCGCGTGCTGCCGATACGTCGCCGGGATAGCTCAGCTGGGAGAGCAACAGACTGAAGCCATCGGGAGTCTTCTGGAGGTCGCGTGTTCAATCCACGCTCCTGGCATTACGTTTTTCTTCTTTCTTCACGACGCGGTCATGTGGCAGGAGATTGACGCGTCCCGAGCCAATAGACGGTTCCATGACTCTGTTCCAGGACGCGTTCGGGACCACAACGGTATAAAGACCCCAACCCTGACCGCAGGTACTACTTCTCGTTCCTCTCTGCACGATCTACACTCCCGCACACCGATTTCCTTCGTAACATGGTTCGCCGTGCACAATCCCAGAGCGCGCCAGCCCCTTCTCGACCTGCCTCGCCCTCTGGGGATGATATTGAAGAGGTACCGCCGGAACCTATCACCATTTCGCGCATATAGTCACAGAAAAGGTGTAGGGTCCATATTTTGACAGCGTAGACGAGCTCCAGCAGCATGTATGTGCGGCGTCGTCTATCTGACAAGCTACAGTTACTGACAAGTCTGCGTCTTCAGGGTATCAATGTCCAAGATATCCTTAAGCTCAAGGTGACGATTGAACACGTATTCAATGGCATTTCTCGTCTCTCTCAACACATCCTTCAGTCCGCATCCATCAATACGGTCTCTGGGGTGACCATGACCACAAGGAGGCAAATGTTGAAGATCAAGGTACTATCTCAGACGGATTCTTTTCCAGATCGCGACAATGACGATCAACGCAGGGCATGTCAGAGGCGAAAGTCGAGAAGATCAAGGCAAGTACTTATGTCACATCCTTTGTTCACCGTGATACTGATATGACGATGCAATAGGAGGCTGCACACAAGATATTGGTACGATATATGCGTGTTGAGAGGCGCATATAGGCGGCTTACAGAGCCCGTCGTAGGGTTCCTCCTTTGCGACGGGCTTGGAAGTGCAAGAGAAGCGGAAACGCGTACTCATCATCAGCACCGGGAGCAAAGCTGTGGACAATGCATTGGGTGGTATGCACATCATGGCCTGCTTGACGCTTCAAACTCGATCAATCCTGAATATTGAATGTGTGCAGGCGGCTTCATGTCTCAATCGATCACTGAAGTATATGGCGAGTTCCGCACCGGGAAAACTCAGCTCGCGCACACAATGAGTGTTGTTGCACAGCTACCCCCGGACATGGGAGGCGCGTCTGGGAAGGTATGGCATGTGTGTCTCAACCGACGGACTTGCGCTGATACGTTGGTACGCGAAGGTGGCATATATTGATACGGAGGGTACATTCAGGCCAGATCGAATCCGGTCTATTGCGGATCGCTTCGGCGGTAAGAAAGCCTTCATTGTCTCTTCGTAACAACTAGGTTGATGCCCAGAAGTGGACGGAAACATGGCGTTGGAGAATATCCTCTATGGTTGGTTTCTCCTCGCTGTTGAAGTTGGGAATCACTGACTATAGTGGAACTATCCGTTTAGCAAGAGCACATAACAGCGAACATCAGGTGTGTATAGGAGTCTCGAGCGGATGACAACCGCTCAAACGTCTCAGATGGAATTGATCAATGAATGCTCCATACGATTTGCTGAGGACAAAGACTTCAGGCTTCTGGTGACGTCTTGATCATATCCTAGTCATCCTAATCACTCACGCCATGGCAGATCGTGGACAGTATCATGGCACTCTTCCGGGCCGACTACTCAGGAAGAGGCGAACTCAGTGAGCGTCAGCAAAAGGTGAGCTGTCTGCACAGACTTACGGTGAAGCGTCTCGTTGCCATACTGACTTACTCCGCGTAGCTTGCACAAGCGAGTCTCCGGACATTCTTGCTTGTATCGCATGTTATTGACAACCGTATAGATGCTCTCGAAACTGAGCAAGCTGTCCGAGGAGTACAATGTACGTACAAGTACCCAGCGTGTTGCTAATTCACTGATAGACGACATCGTAGATCGCTGTTCTCCTCACAAACCAAGTACAATGTGAGCACTCTGCCATTATGCGCAGAATGCATATTTGCTGACTGAAATTCCATAGCTGATCCGGGCGCGACCATGACGTTCGTTGCCGGCGGGGCTCTGAAGCCTATTGGAGGTCATATTCTCTCGCACGCCTCCGCGACGAGGTTATTCCTGAGAAAAGGTACGGAAATTCCGGTGAACCTCTTACACATCAGTACGATTCTGATACCATTTTATTGTCAAGGACGGGCGGAAGAGCGTGTGGCTAAACTTGTGGATAGCCCCGATCGGCCCGAAAGCGAAGCTGCGTACAAATTAGACGAAGGAGGTTGGGCGGACGTCTGAACCAGCCTGGCTTCTAACTCAAATCAATCTCGCGCTACTGCTACTTCTTGTGGACGTCTTTGTTGGCTCTCTCTGCTCTCGTGCCTTCGCCAAAGGCTCTGATGTAACTCAATGGCTTTGTTGCTCTCGCTGCTGCTCTACTGGTCACTGGATCTGGACCTCGACATGATTGTAATCGAGGGCGGATTGTCTTCCCGATACACGTTCGAGAGGTCAACCGATTGAGGCATGTGCTACGTAGAAATACTCTGTTGTACCAGCTGTGATAATCACATTCATCTATATGTTCGTCTCGGTCGCCTCAGGTACTAGGAGTGGTCCAGTGAGTAGTCTATCACCGCAAGCACGTTTGTCTTGTCGGCTGTTTGAAGTACCGTACTGAACGCGTGAGACTTGACCGCCACCATCTTAGTAACGCGTTGCGTTAACGCCTTGTAACTACTTCAAAACACTCTCGCCTGCGAGGCAGTCACCGAATATTCACGACGGATGGACTTTGTGATGGCGACCAGCTATGCGTAGCGGCGACCGCCAGAAGCTCATATCACCAACACTAGTACCATCCCTCGGTGCACCGCCAAAGATATACGATACGGTATCGGCAGCGGCGGGATGGGCGGGAATACACGCCGTCCGGAGTCTGACACAAGCGCCGCTGATGGTCAGGCACTACCGTTCTCCACCAACACAGATATTACCTTCCCAACACCGACGTTCTTGATCGCCACCCACCGCGGGGTCGTATGATGCCCGTGGCCCATGTGGACCGCCGTACCCTATCGGCGGCAAGATAGCACGTTCGCCATACCCGACGGTGACCCGCTGACTATAAATGCTCTCCGGGGCGGACGAGCAACAGTGTCCGTCTTCCGCGCATCGAAGCAGGACACCGGTGACCACTGACCTCTGACCACGATCATGGCTGCTGCTCTGGGTCTCGTCTCCGCACTTCTGGCCCTCCAGGCCGATGCGAGCGCGAGTACGCTGTTCTCTCTCCCCCGGACGTTCCCCAATATTTCCGCGTGCGTGAACGAACCTATCACGTACTCGTGCGAGAACACGACCGCGATCCATAACACATGTTGTTCGCCTACGCCGGGCGGACTTGTGCTGCAGACGCAGTTCTGGGACACCTACACCGGGCTTGAAGCGAGGGGACAGCTGCTGCCTAAGAACAGCTGGACCATCCATGGTCTATGGCCGGATAACTGCGACGGGTGAGTGACTCCACCTACATTATTATGTTGCTGGTGCCAATGAGCTGTGTTCCTTTAGGTCTTACGAGCAGTACTGTGACTTATCGCGCCAGTACGACCGCGCCCCATCGCCTTCCGTTCTTCCTGACGGAACGCATGTGCCTCCATACAAGGGCCCAGGCGTGGACACCTTCGTTGCAGAATTTGGTCGCCTGGACTTGTTGGACTACAGTACGTCGTCTCTGGGTTTTCAGCGAAGACTCAGAATATGAGACTGATGGCGAGTCTAGTGGAAAAGTACTGGGTCAGTCAGGGTAGCCCTAACGCCGATTTTTGGGGACATGAGGTGTGTGTGCCGGCGTTGAAGAACTGGCATTAACTCCCAACTCACCTTGCGCCTAGTTCGCCAAGCACGCCACTTGCACGTCTACATTCGACGTCGCGTGCTATGGTCCCGACTACAAGAAAAACCAGGATGTAGTTGACTTCTTCGAAGCTGTCATCCGCGCGTACAAGATGTACCCTACTTGGGAGTTGCTTGCTGCGTGAGTTGACAGAGTTCGTGATCGCGGATCGTCGCGTCCTAAATATCCTATGTTGTAGTTCCGGCATTCTTCCATCGAACAGGACTACCTATTCGCTCTCGCAGTTGCAGAACGCCCTCAAAGCCCAGACGGGCGCCGTTCCGTACCTCGGATGTGGTACAAACGGAACCGTCCTACAGGAAGTGTGGTACTTCCATCACGTCCTGGGATCGGTGCGTGGACTGAGCGTGTTACCCCGTTCAGTATGACTGATGAGATCCATAGGAGCAATTCGGTCACTTCAAGACAGTGGACTCGACCACGGAGTCGACGTGCTCGCAGACGGCTGGGATTCACTACTATGAGCGTACTCCTACTTCCGAGCGGGAAGTCAGGTTGTTGCCGTAAAAGCTTAACACCTCACCTGTATTGCTATGCACCCTGCTACACAACTTGGCGTACGCGTCAGACGTCGGCTTCTATCGCATTCAGTTAGCAGCGTATACTCGTAGCAACGCCATCCCTCGACAGCCTGTAAGACTGTGAATACACCGCAGAATGTTTCGAGAGGTGCAAGAGCTAGCTGTAAGGTGTCGTAGAAAGCATATTAGCATCTGTGGTCGGCATGTGGTTCGGATATATTCTAGGCCCACATAGTTGCTGGAGGACTTCGCGCACCAAGTCATGGGACATCCGTTTCAAAAGGGGCCTTGCTTGTACTTCTCCATCTCCTTCAAGTCGAGCTTACATCCCCTGAAGGATGCCGCTATCATTGTTTGACACCGTCTTGGACTGCGCTGCGAACACACAGAGAACCAGGTTGCATTCGCTGCGGCTGTTGTGTCCTCGGAGACCGGCACCGTTCTCCGGTCCAATTTGGGCGAATGCTCTTGGGCGCTTCTCCTATTCCACCTTCAACGGCCCATCGGTTGCTCCGCAGTGCCCCCAGGAGAACGAGGAACCTATGCCGCCAGACTACGAATCAAGAACGTACTGGAAAGATCGCTTCGAAGGAGAGAGACATTTCGAGTGGCTCGGCGATGGACAGGATACCATCATCCCCCACGTTCGCTCGCATTTACTCCATTT